CTGGAACCAGCGCATGGCCTCCTCTTTGCTGATTCTGTGTTTGGCCCCAATGCAGCCTGTCCTGCGTTTCTTGTCTGCGATGCTGAAACCTGGCCTACCCAGCACCTGTCCCGGAATAACCAACAGTCACCTAGCCAGCTCAGAGTCAAGAGCAGATGGACAAGACTCACACATTGCAGAGATCGATCTTCAAGAGTAACCTGGTGACCCAATGAATCGTGGAGCAAAAGAGCCATGATCTCAGTGATGGAACTGTTTCCAGCATCCTGGACAACACACCACCATATTACAGGTTTGCTTTGGAGGCTGGACCTTGCAGCACCCCCCGCCCCTGCCACTTCCAGTGGTAGCTAAGGATTTTCCACCACTGTTCCCCAATCTCCAAAGCACTTTTATTTTGAAAAACAATATTAGGAAAAATCTTACTATACTACCACACTATAGCAAGTTTAAAATTCTGAGAAACACGAAGAAATAGTTATACATATTTCTCTCCTTTCACGTCAGCTCAGAAGTGCTTCTTAAAGGTTTGCTGTTCCCAAACTCCCAGTGAGCACTGAATTTTCATTACTGTTTGGATATTCAAATCTAATGAGAGTGCTGCCATCTTTCAGGTTCCACAGTAGTCAGGACTTCTGGTTTTTGCTAGTTTCATGGTTGGACCAAAACACTGCAGTAACGCAAATGGTCATTTTTACATTGAAATCCCCATCCTGAGCAAACCAGCTGCTCGCCAAACCTGCTTCTATGTCCTCTAGGTGGAAGCCACCCCTCTCCCAGGTCTAAGGGAGGAGCTGGGAAAGGCCAGCCAACCTGCATGCCGACGAGGCTCCAATATTATTCCTCAAATTTTCAGGTCAGTGGCTAGATGGAATAGTTTCCTTCCTCCACCTTCAAGCCATTATCAGGGGTTGCTAGAGCCTAGACTATGAGCTTCACAATAGCAGTGGCCTTGTCTATCTAGTTAGTCCTGTATCCCTACACATGCCACACGAGAGGCACATCTTCCTTCCCAAAGGAGGAGGAGTCAAAGGCAGACAATACTCCAAGCTCAAATTCAATATGTAGACATCAAAATAGCACATGAAATAAAGGAGTAGCAGGTTTCACTCTCTGCACAGACCAGGAGTGGAAAAGATTAACTATTCATACCACATAGAAGTCCAGGCCGTAGATACCAATGCTTGGATCGTATTTGATTCCCAGATCAATGTGTTCCTGGATCCCAAAGCCAAAGTTTCCGGTATCTGAGAAGTTATTTTTTCGTAACTCGTACTCTCGAACCTGAGGAGAAAAATGTAACAATCACACTCCTTGTCAACTCAAACCCCAAAATAACTAGCTTAGCTTGTAACACTCAGCACCCCAGAAATACAACTCAACGCAATCTGGCCAGGAACAAAAAGTCTGATTTCCCTACTACACCAAATCACATCCTAACTATGGATTACATCGAACTTTCCCAACTTTCAAAGGGCAGGGAAAGTCCTTCAGAAGTTCAGACAGGGCCGGCCGGGTGACGCACTGGTTAGGAGTTGGCTTGGGACACCAGCTCTGAGCAGCAGGGCCCCGGTTCGGATCCCACATGAGGGCCAGTGATGCTGTGCCCTCTACAGCTAGACTGAAGAACAAAAGGACAGCAACTTGTCTGTTCCCCTCCCCCAATTCCCCAATAAAATCTTTAAAAAAAAAAAAAGTTCAGACATACAGATGGCCAACAGGTACACGAAAAGATGCTCAACATCACTAATCATCAGGGCACTCCAAATCAAAACCACAATGAGATATTACCTCACACCTGTTAGAATGGCTATTATCAAAATGACAAGAAATGTGTTGTCAGGGTGTGTAGAAAAGGGAACCCTTATGCACCGTTGGTGGAAATGTAAACTGGTACAGAAACGATGGAAAACAGGAAGAAGGTTTCTCAAAACATTTAAAAAACAAAACAAAAAAACTACCATATGATCTAGCCAATTTCACTTCAGGGTATTTAACTAAACAAAGCAAAAACACTAATTCGAAAAGACATATGCACCCTTATGTTCACTGCATTATTTACAATAGCCGAGATATGGAAACAACATTAAGTATTCACAGGTGGATGAATAAAGATGTGGTATATGCAATGGAATACTACTCAGCCATGAAAGAGTATCTTGCCATTTGCAACAACAATGGCACAGACCTTAAGGGTATTATGCTAAGTAAAGTAAGTCACACAGAAAAAGACAAACACTGTATGATTTCACTTATATGTGGAATCTAAGAAACAAAACTCAGATATAAATAAGCCACGATGACTATAATTGATAATATTGTACTGCATATTTGAAAGTTGCTAAGAGCAAATCTGAAAAGTTCTCATCATCAGGAATTTTTTGTAACTTTATAGTATCAGATGGTAACTAAGTTTCTTGTGATCATTTCAGTGTATACAAGTATCATTTTGTTGCACACCTGAAACTAACACAATGTTGTATATGTCAATTAAAACTAAAAAAAAAAAAAAATCAGGGCACCAAAAATAGTACATTTAGTTTAACCACTGCCACTATAATTATCTTCATGTGTTAAGCTGGTGCTCTTTAGTATCAACCCATGATAAGATCAGCCTCACCTTCAGACCTTTCTCCAAGATTTCTTCTGCCTTGGCCCCACGGACTGTGCAGTGGACGGCAATCTTTTCATTTCTCCTGATGCCGAAGGATCTAACGGTGTACCTAGCTGCAAGCAGGGATTAACAAGGAGTCAGGTGTTGTCCCACTCCCGCTGCAATGGCCTATTCCCCAGAACATCATCCATCATCTCCATGACTCCAAAGAGTTATTAAGTATCTACCCACACTCTAAGCGGTGGTGTTCTAACCAGTGTCATCTATATCTGTTAATCGGTTTCATTCATACAACAGAAAACAGATTTTCCAACTTCCAAGTCACTCAGCCGTCAGCAATTAAGAGCTAGAAGCTATAATGTCAGTCTCAGGAAGGGGACGTTCACAACCAGAACAGGCCCCTAGAAAGGAAGGTGATCACTGATACAATCCTTTTACAGAGAACACTTGATATTGTGGAGGGATAGGAGGCTTTTTGAGAATTATACTTCCATATTCACTGCCTCCAAAATGAAATAAAGTATAACTGGGGGGGGGGGGGGGGAAGACCCTTAGATACCCACTGATCATAGAAATCCAGGACTACAATGCTTTATAGAGCTATTACATTCTCTTTTCAATTTTTGCCTGACCTTTTCCTTCTCCTTGGCTGAGTCATTTTTACAGTGGATAAAAATGATGGAAACACTTTCCTCTTTGCCGCAGTCCTCTGCCTATTAGAGAGGCCGCCTCACACCGTGGATCCAAGTCTGCCCAATCTGACCTCCACTCTTTGGCAGAAATTGGTTTGTCTCAGAAACCATTTTCCTTAGACCACATCATTTTCTCGTCCCTTCCATCACCCCCACTAGCAAATGAGTTTCACAATAGACACCAGTTAGGGTGTCGCAGCAAAATTACAAATTAAAATTTGTGGAGGGAGGTCCAAGATGATGGCATAGGTAAATGCTATGTCTGCCGCCTCCCGGGATCACAGTTAAAGTTACCACTGAATTTATCTGAAGACTAGCTGAGCCCCTATAACTAAGGATATAAAGAAGAGGCCACACAGAGACTGGGAGAAGGGGAAGAGACACAAAACGGGCTGACCCCAAACCCACAGGTTTTTTTGAGTAAAAACAGATTTTCCAACTTCCAAGTCACTCAGCCATCAGCAATTAAGAGCTAGAAACCGTAATGTCAGTCTCAGGAAGGGGACGTTCACAACCAGAACAGGCCCCTAGAAAGGAAGGTGATCACTGTATTCTAAAGAAAACATTAGGATAATAATAGCTAGTATTTGTTAAAACCTTATCGTACTGTTATCCCCGTTTTACAGATGAGGTTCTCAGAGGTTAACTTGCCCAAGATCACAACTGGTAATAAAAGGCAGGATGTGAACTCAACAAGGACTTGCAATATTCCACTATCCTAAAGCAACACAACTTTAAAATAAGAAAAGTAGCAATAGTATTGCCTACATTGTGTTTGGTATGTAGCATTTCATATCTAGTAACTAACTCTATCCTCTACAATCTTATAAAGCAAGCATTATTATCCCTTTTATGTGAAAAAGGAAGCTAAGGTCCAGAGACACCAAAATCAGACTAGCAAGTCATAGAGCCAGGACTTGAACCCATTCGTCTACTGACAAAGCCCTGTTCTCAGTGTAGCCTATATAACCCTAACTGCGAATCAGGCCTAAAACCATTGACTGCATTCCCAACATTTCCACTCTACCTCAACCATTACTTGGAAAAATGTTGACTTGGGCTAGTCTTAATTTCGGCTCACATAATACCTGGTATTCCAGCACCATTCCCGATCTTAAAAGGAAGAGCTACTTCCTGGGAAACTCAGGAAGGTCATGCTCTTAAGGGATGCCAACTGTCGCTTTCAAAAGGGGCACACGACAGGCTTGACAGCAGAGGAGTTAAGACGCATCCAGGCACACCAAGCCGCCAGCCCGCTTCGTGCCTGCCATGTACTCACCTTTGGAGAACACAGGGGTCTGGCCTGTGAGCTGCTCCAGGACTTTGGCTGCCCGGGTCAGCCTGTCTCCGCTCTCCCCGACACAGATGTTGAGGCAGAGCTTGCGGATGCGAAGCTCCCGCATGGGGTTCTCCTTCTCACCTTGATCCTGCTGTAAAAGGGAAGCGCAGCAGTCAACACACCCAACCCGCCCCAGCGGCGAGCCCACTCCTTTTCTACACTGCGTGTTCATTTCTGCTCATCCCAAACCGAAAGCCCTAAAGAGTTTAATAAGTGTCACCGTTGTTTGGGAAGCATCAAGGAATGGGTGAACAGACACTCAGGGCCGGTATCAAGCGTCACGGTTACAGACACTGCGCATGAATCCCAAGGGGCTCACCACGTAGAGGTGATGGGGAGCGCCAATGTCGACGGGGGAGAGAAAACAGAATTGAATTACTGAGCAAACAGTAAACACGTGGTTGTACCACGTCCATTCCGTTCCGAAGCAGCTCCGTGGCTGCGGCAGAAAACTGGTCCCTTCCCTAACCGCGGGGGCCGGCTGAGGCTCCCCGGCACCCGGCAAGTCTCTCAACTCCCCAGGACCGCAAACAGGTTGCGACCCCGTGTCCCCGACCCCTTCGTTCGATCCGCTCGTCCTCCAGGCAGCCCGCGGGCCCGCGTTTCTGTGCCGTCCGGGAGGCTGCCCCGAGCCCACCGCCAGGGAGGGCGGCAGGGGAGGCGGCAGGGACCAGCGCCGCGTCCTCGGCCCGCATGGCTCTGCCAGTTTCGGCCTGGGCAGCATCGAGGGGTCCGTCCTCCTCGGGCCGCGACGAAGCAGCCCCGGCGGGATCGGCCGAGCGTGGATGGAAGCGGATGAAAAGAAGCAAATCCGGGACTCAGCTACTCACCGCCATCATGAGACAGGAAGAGAGAGTGAAGTTTCCGGCTCAGGGCCTTATGGGCCAGGAGGCGGGCTCTTTTTCCAAGCTAACCAGAGAGATGAGGGAAAAGGAAGAGAGGCGCGTGGGGAGCAACGCAGCATGGGCTGCCCCCTCGTGGACACTGCTCGCAACTGCAGGCGATGCTGGGGGACTAGCCAGACCTGAGTTTTCCAAAAATAGTTTTTTTGTTTGTTTGTTTGTTTTAAGATTTTATTGGGGAATTTGGGGGAGGGAACAGTGTTGGGGAATCGGGGAAGGGGAACAGACAAGTTGCTATCCTTTTGTTCTTCAGTCTAGCTGTGGAGGGCACAGCATCACTGGCCCATGTGGGATCCGAACCGGCAGCCCTGCTGCTCAGAGCTCGCTCTCCCAAGCCAACTCTTAACAAAGGAGCCACTCGGATAGCCCCAAAAATAGTTTTAAAAGCTCCCTGAACTGGGTTTTACTTGCGCTTCAGACCCCGCACAAGTCCCAGGAGCTAGTGGTTCTTGCGTAATGAAACTGCCAGAACTGCATTAAATCAATTATGCAAATTATGAGGCAATTAATTTATTCTGTAACAGTGTAAACAAATAGAATTTATACAATTAGAACAGAGTGGTGGCTGGAGTCCTGAGCTGTGAAGACAGGCAGATGTGGTCGGGCCTTGGCTAATAGCTGTGTGACCTTGTGCAGGTTACTAATTAGATTTCTTTCAACCTCAATTTTTCTCATTTTTAAAATGGACACTCCCATAAGCTTGTGAAAATTAAATGAGATGATTGTGTAGAGCACAGAGTAAGTCCACCATAACTGGTTACTCTTGTTATGAATATAAACCTACTGTAGCCAAGCAACCTCCCTTCCCCCCAGAAAAAAAGTGTTAGACATGGTATATAATCAAGAGAGGGTCATCCTACAGGCACAAAGACGGCTTGCGGATTAGTTTGACAGACAAGGGACAATAGGAGTGCTCTCTGGTTTACATTAAAGCCTTAGCGGCAGGACCTGAGGAGGCGCCAGGATCCACACCCCATGCAGAAGCTGGCCTTGAGCCAGCCAGTTCCTTTCACAGGAACCAATGGGAAAATGAGAACTATAAGTTTTCCATAGGAAAGGAGCCAAGCCACTTCCTTCTGCAGCCATAATTCGTTTCTCCCATCGCCATAGAGGAATCAGAGGCCTCTAGGTTTCATCCATGGGAACAAAAGGGCGCTTCTGGGAAGCTGGACTGATGGAGGCAGGCAGAAAGAAAAGGCCTCTCCTCTGAGCCTCTTTCACGTACCCACTGGCTTGCCCAGAGCTGGGGCCTCAGCCAGACCTTCAGAAGGGGCAGAACTGAGGGAGGGGCTGCTTCAAAACTTGGAATAAAGAGAAAACTGAAGGCAACACATGATCCTGGATTTTCTTTTACTATAAAGCATGTTATTGGGGTCATAACATGGCAAAATCTGAATAAAGTCTGTAGACTTCAGAAATGTACCCATGTTAATTTAATACCCTTATTCTGATTACTTGACCTTGGTTCTATAAGAGAATGTCCTTGGATTTAAGAAATACACGTTCAGGGCCGGCCGAGTGGCGCGATGGTTAAGAACTGGCTTGGGACGCCAGAGGGCCCCGGTTCGGATCCCACATATGAGGGCCAGTNCTAGACTGAAGAACAAAAGGACAGCAACTTGTCTGTTCCCCTCCCCCAATTCCCCAATAAAATCTTTAAAAAAAAAAAAAGTTCAGACATACAGATGGCCAACAGGTACACGAAAAGATGCTCAACATCACTAATCATCAGGGCACTCCAAATCAAAACCACAATGAGATATTACCTCACACCTGTTAGAATGGCTATTATCAAAATGACAAGAAATGTGTTGTCAGGGTGTGTAGAAAAGGGAACCCTTATGCACCGTTGGTGGAAATGTAAACTGGTACAGAAACGATGGAAAACAGGAAGAAGGTTTCTCAAAACATTTAAAAAACAAAACAAAAAAACTACCATATGATCTAGCCAATTTCACTTCAGGGTATTTAACTAAACAAAGCAAAAACACTAATTCGAAAAGACATATGCACCCTTATGTTCACTGCATTATTTACAATAGCCGAGATATGGAAACAACATTAAGTATTCACAGGTGGATGAATAAAGATGTGGTATATGCAATGGAATACTACTCAGCCATGAAAGAGTATCTTGCCATTTGCAACAACAATGGCACAGACCTTAAGGGTATTATGCTAAGTAAAGTAAGTCACACAGAAAAAGACAAACACTGTATGATTTCACTTATATGTGGAATCTAAGAAACAAAACTCAGATATAAATAAGCCACGATGACTATAATTGATAATATTGTACTGCATATTTGAAAGTTGCTAAGAGCAAATCTGAAAAGTTCTCATCATCAGGAATTTTTTGTAACTTTATAGTATCAGATGGTAACTAAGTTTCTTGTGATCATTTCAGTGTATACAAGTATCATTTTGTTGCACACCTGAAACTAACACAATGTTGTATATGTCAATTAAAACTAAAAAAAAAAAAAAATCAGGGCACCAAAAATAGTACATTTAGTTTAACCACTGCCACTATAATTATCTTCATGTGTTAAGCTGGTGCTCTTTAGTATCAACCCATGATAAGATCAGCCTCACCTTCAGACCTTTCTCCAAGATTTCTTCTGCCTTGGCCCCACGGACTGTGCAGTGGACGGCAATCTTTTCATTTCTCCTGATGCCGAAGGATCT